CTACCCTTCAATTAGTGCATTCAAATTTGCATCTGGGTCTGAGAATAATTGTTTTCCTGCTCAAAATACTATGGAATATTTGCTCATATGATTATATTTTCTAGTTCCTATTTTATGGTATTTGTTAGAAAAATAGCACACGTCACCGGCTTGGTCTTCAATATCAGGATACATCCTTGCAAGAATGGAAGTAGTCATCACAAACAGAGGTTGCGTGCAAATAGTTCCCAGAACAGTGTCCTTGACATGTCTATATATACAAGAGAAGGCGTTACAGTCACAATATGCAGAATACCAGTTCATAGCAGTATTCTGACATTAGTTCATATTAGCTAAGGCCTGCGTAAGCAATAAACATGACAGTCATATGCCTATCTCCATAGAGGCTGAATCATCATGTTAATCGTTGTCACATAGCTCCATAGAGGCTGAATCATCATGTTAATCGTGGTCACATAGCTATCATATGCCTAAAACAGTGTGTCCTGACGCTCTTCTAGGTAATCACACATCCTGTTACGTACACAGCTACGTAGGGCCTTTGTTATGTGCTACTTTGATATTAGAAGAGTACATTCAGTATTTTCCCAACAGTATTTCTTACAGGGGAACTCCACTTTCAAATAGAGGTGGATTTACTTATCATGATGATATCATATGAGTCAGGGTTATCTTGAAATGTCTTTGATTACTTCCGGGCACCTAAAGGATGAGCACATTTCAGCCTATATTGTACCTAATTTGGACCAATCTTTTTCCAACATGTTATTTGTAAATCCCCAATCTTTATGAAAGTGCAGCACTAGTGTATATCGCCTGAATAACTCTTTAGAGCAGGGGTCTCAAACTCAAATACACAGTGGGCCAAAATAAAAAAATGGGTACTAGTCGAGGGCCGGACTGGTTCAATGTTTATTGCAAAACTTATTGAAATGAACTTATTGCACATATTAAACCTGGAACTAACAACGCTTGAATGATTGCCTATTAAATTGCCTATTATACACATCAAACATTAAATAATCAGTTGCATTCATTTCTTATGGCTCTATCTGCAGAGTCATTTCTTATGATTACATTTTTCCACAGGCCAACAACAGCTTCAAAAAAACTATTTCCCTCAAAGAAAAAGCAAACATGCCCTGTTGTCTCAAGAAACAAAGTGCAGAAGGAATCATCCATGTAAACTCAGTTTGCTGCTCTGTGATGCTAGTACAAGCAGATACTTGGCATCTCATCTCGGGTGCAAGTTCANGGGGTGTTACCTTGGTTGGTTGGCTAATGGTTACACAAGACAAAAAATCGTTATGACATCACAAAGTGGCCAAAATCTGATCAGCTCATTTTCAGACAGGTTTTTATATAAATGGATCAGGACAAAAAGAGAGAGAATCTTTTTTCCTGAAATGTTCAGCATCTCTTTACACAAAGGGGACTCATGTTTATGTATAAAATAATAATAGTTGACCTTTAACTCATCTTGTAAATTAAAGTGAGATTCTAAAATGAACCCACCATGCGGATATTAACAACACTGTCTTCCCTCTAAACTTCGCAGAGCTTTCTCATAATTTTTCGACTCATTTTGGTTTTACTATCAACAACTTTACTGTTTTGGTTCCATCTTGGGGATCTCTTTCTCATTTCCTGTCAAAGCAGGCAGCCAACAAACAAAGATATCAACTCACTTGGTACTAAGCCAGAATGACATGGAAGATGAGATAGTATCTGATTTACAGGAGCCAGATGTACACAAACTCCAAATCAATGCTAATGTTTCTCTGTCTGCTGGATGTGTAAAAGGATTTGTTGAACTATAGGGAAAGAGTTAGCACTTCCAGTTTTTTTGTTCTAAGACATAAAATATGTCAGCTAAAAACCCTCGGGAAAGTTGAGGCTTTTACGTGTTATAAAAAGGCAGATTCTATAGTAAATGGCCGAATAAGACACCTAAACATTGTCCCGAATAAGTATCCATCTGTAGCTTAGTGGTTGAAGTAATGTGAAGTTCTAACACCCAATGTTAGCTCTTTACTTCTGGCCATTTTTATTTATGCTTCAAAAATCATGAAAGTGGTGGGAACATTTTGTGCAAATAACATAAATATTTGTTCCGACAGAGCTTGTTTTATGAATTCTGAGGTTGTGCGTGTCTGTGTGCGCGTGTCTGTGTGTGCGCGCGTGTGTGTGTATTCCCTGCAGGTAAAGTCAGTGTTCATGGTATATATGCTATTTAAAGAATGGGGTGATGACGCAATCTCTTTTTTTTTTGCTTCACATCCCCGGTCTCTGTTTTGAGCAGCAGCTTCCACAGCCGAGTGGTGATTTTCTGCCTATTTCTTACAGTTTTGACATGTTTTTGGCATAATTCAGTGTCCCTTTTCTCACCATGACAATTTTTACACTAAATGATGGGCTTAGATAACATCTTCCGACAGCGACTTCCTTTTCTTTTCTCAAATCCTCTAAATGTTTCTTTCTCTATATTTTCCACTCACGTCATCTGGCAAGTGTGACTGTCCCTCGCTCCCACAGCAGCAGCCTCTCCACCAGCATCCTTTTCAAACACACTTGAATTATTCCCCCGTGCATCTGAATGCAACCACTCTGTTCCTCCAGACATCTAGAGGATGGGGCTGTTTCTCTGGTGGCTCTAAATTGGTTTCTGTGGTCATTTCTTGTATGTGTGAAGAGGACAAAGAGAAGCTGATTTGTACTAATGGGTGCATGGTATGACTCAGAACTGAACATGCAGCTTTGTATTCATAAGTTGTGCCGTTCACTTCAGAAGTGATATTGCTTTCTTCTATGTAATACGTTGTTATTTACCCTCTAGATTATTATTATTATCCATCATTAATTTGCATCATTATTCATATTATTTCAGTAATCACTTTCTGGCTTTGACACTCAGTCTCAGTATGCATAAAGGCTTCTGGAGTTACTTGATGATGCATAGGTTGCTGATCTTTGCTCACTGATCTCAGAGGGATTATAGTTATTAAAGCCGCTGCAAAGCCAAGAATATAGTATGACTCACTAAAACATCAACACAGCCACCGATCCCCCTCCTCCATACAGCATTCATTTCACTGGAGCAATAATTATGCTGCCTGACTACCATATTCGGAAATGAGCATTTAAACATTATTAATACGACCAATATACTAAATGGTGTCACCTGAATCAACCTGCATTCCTCTTGGGAAAACTATTCTGAATTAGCTGACTGGGTTTTAGACAGATTAATAGTTTACTTACTCTTTATGATATGTACTGTTTAGCTTAAACTAAAGGTGCTAAATACAAATGTGTGGATAAAAGCCATGGTTGAAAAATTGTATAGAAGTCTATGAGAAAATTATTTGACTGATTAATAATTCGTAGGCAGATGCTATTTGCACCCGGGTGAGTATAGAGAACAATGTTATTTGACGGTGTTAAAAAAGCCATGTTCTTTAAGGTTTTATTAAATATAACGAATATACAGCCTACATACCTACCCTACCTCTGTGACCTCATCCAACGACACACCCCCACCCGTCGCCTCAGGTCTGCTGAAGCTAACCTACTGCAGTCCATCAGGACAAAGCTCCGGACCTGGGGTGACAGGGCAAAGCAATAGGCCTCATAAGGATTTGGTGATAAAGGCTGGTGGTTGTTTTTCTGTGTTGAATAGCTGTTTTAATGTTTAATGTTTGTGCTTGACTATTTGCGCAAAACTCACACACACAGAAATATAAACGTGCATGTGCATTCAACTGCGCACCTACATCCTCTCAACACCCTTAGGACTTCTCAAAAATACAGGACTGAATCACTTGACATCACAAAACTAAATCTTAGGTGATGTCTCCCTGCGGCCGCACATACCTTCTTCCTAACATTAGCGTCACTGTCAGACCTCCACCACTTTCAACATCCATTCATGAAACTGTGTGCTTCGGACACCTGGTGCCATCTTAAATTGCTGTACAAAAAGGAAAGACAAATTTCAAGTGAGCCGTTACATTTTCACTTTTGAGTTCATACAATGTTTACTTCCTGCTCAGGTTCTTCTCTGTGTCGGTAACAGAGAGTCAGCGGAGACCAAATCAAGTGTCAAGTGTTTTGTTTGGACACATTGGTGATGTGGTTCAGAGGTGGGAAGTAGTGGAGTAGGCCTACAAATTATTCGTTACTGTACTTAAGTACATTTTTCTGGTATCAGTACTTTACTCCACTACTTATTTTTCTGACGACTTTTAACTTTTACTTCTTACATTTTTAACACAAATACCTGTACTTTCTACTTCTTACATTTTCAAAACAGGCTTGTTGCTTTAGTTTTAATCTGTGTTTGGTGGCGTGATCATTATTATTTAGAGTCATTGCGTGCCTATTGATTTTAACACGATCCGTGTAACCATCATTTTCTGGTCTTCTCTAAAGAAGAGAACGTTGTCATGTTGCCCAGGGCCGTCCCTCCCTACAGGCAGATCATGCAGACTGCATGGGGCCTCACCTTGCGGAGGGGGCCTCACCTTGCGGAGGGTGCCTCAACTGAGCCGAAAATGCGGCGCAATTGGTGTGGCGCGGCACGGTTTCGCCGCTGCGAGGCTCCACTAGCACCCCGTCGACGACGACGACGACGCTCGCGAAACAGAGGGCCTCATCATATAACTTTGCGTGGGGCCTCATGTTGGAAAACATGCATGGAAACATTCATTAGCTAACAATGACATTATTGTTCTATTAATATAAAACGAAGTCAGTTACTCTTTAAAACAGTTGATAGTTATGGGTACTTTTTACTTAAATACATTTCGAAGCCCATACTTCTTTACTTCTAATTGAGTAAAGAAGTTTAGTCAGTACTTCTACTTTTACCAGAGTATTTTTAAACACAAGTATCTTTACTTGTGTAAAGATTTTAACTATAATGCAAGTGCAACAATGTAAAAAATGGTGTCTAAAAATGTTTGATGCCTGATAAATATCTCTCTGTTGACTCCAGGCAGGGCCCTCTGAAGCCAGAGGTTTTGTCCATCCAGTGGTCGGGTCGCCGCTCCAATCGGAGGCTCCAGAGGAACAGCAGCCTGTCTCCCAACAACCCTCTCCTCAGTCTCGTCAATTCAGGTGGGTTCATATTTTCTGCTGTCTAAAGCTGAGTTTGTATGAATAAATAATCAGTACATCCTGTTTAATATTGAAGCTCTACACTCCTGAGTGGTGTGGTCTTGTAGCTGCCGGAGGTTAAAAGAGCTGCTCGGTCAGAGTCAGTGTGTCTCCACAGGACAGAGAGCCGAGCACAGGAGGGGGGAGGGAGGTCGTGAAGGTGTGAGAGAGAAACTGGAGTGTGAGACAGAGAGGGAGATTGAAGTGGAGAGTTGTGTTCTCATGTGCTGCTGGGTGTAGCTATAAAGCCTTAAAATGCTCTGGTACTTCCCCTTTGCTGCAGATAGAGGTTAAAGGTGATGGAAGACCTCACTCTCAAATCACCGTGTGCTGCGGGTGTGATAGTTCATTGTAAGTAAGATATTTAATTCATGATGCATACCGAGAGATGCAGTTTACAGCAAGATCACTCCCTGTCTTGTGATACACCTTTGCAGTTTATTTATTGGTGAGTGTGTTTGTCTGGTGATGCAAGCACATATTTCATTTCAATTTAAAAGGGAATGATTGGTACGTAAGGGTCAGGGTTATAAAAAAAACTTGACTTCAATTATGGTGGATGATGTATTATTAATTATTTGGTGAAGTAGAAGTACACTGATGGTGAGTTATCCAATAATGAATCACAAGTCATATCGAAGAATTCCAGCTCTCAGTTTTACTGATAATGTTAAAGTTATGAGTCCAGGCAGAATTATTTGTTAAAGGTCCAAACACACCACACCGACATCAAAGCACAAGCAGCAACAAAAAAACACTCATAGCAAGGACTTCAGCGAACAGCCATTTCATTTCAGCTCCCGCATATGAAGAAATAACTCTTAATACAGCAGGTGGCTTTAGTCTGAATTCATCACTCAAAAACCATAAGGCTTACTTCGGATATACAAATCTGAAAGTAAGAAAAGTTGTTCAACCATTTTCACACCGCACTCGCTCAGCCCTATCAGTTTTGTAATACAGCCTCTTCTACTGGAGAATGTGTCTGAAAACTAGAGGGAATTGGCACTGTTGTTTCATCTCTTAGCGGAGGAAAAAATAAATGTGTTGAATCAAAACGACATTAACTCCAACATAACTCTTATTCAACTACACACTTTAATGTAAAAGTCCCAAAGCTTTGACCTAAGAAAACAAGTCATGACTTTAATAGACCAAACCTTTAGTGTTGTAGCATGTGGGGATTGCCCACACTATTGAGTGTATTTAAGTAGCTTTGGGTCAAAGTGTCTAACAAGTGACATGTAATGTAATACATGTTTCTTTAAATCTGTTTGTCACAATCAATGAGAAGTCTCTATCATCAGATTCACTTCTTGACCTTTTAACCACAGCTATTCTTTCCAGTGTTTCTATTTTCCCAGCTCCATTATTGTTTGTATTGGCAATTGTTTGCACACAGTTTTTTTTCCATTAGCTTCCACTATAACACCAGTGGTGGTTGCTAGGAGATGTGTGCACCCCTTTAAACTTTGATTTTATGCCTCAGGGCTTTTTTATTGAATGGCATGCTTTCAGGGTTGCGTTATTTGAAAGGAAACCTTGAAATGCCCTCTGGGATGCCGCCACTATTTTCGAGGTGTTCGGTTGAAACAATCAATGGAGGAAGAGGAGTTTGAAATCCGGTTGATGTAAGCAGCATCATTCCCTCGACCATTGTTGTTCCGTCTGAGTGGCTTCCTGTCTGTATCTATAGGTGTTTATGAAGAAGACAGCCAGTGGATGGTCCAGGTCAACAGGCTGCAGAGGCTCATCGACCGTCTAGAGAAAAAGGTTATCCTTCTATTTTCTCCTCCTGCCTCCTTCCTCTTCTTTCCATCTCAGTTCTTCCTCTCACTATCACGGCCATCTGGTCTTTACATTTCTTTCTCAGAATAAACACTGATTAAGTGAACTTACAATATTAACAAATTAACTCAACCACACCTCCCACGTACAAACACATACACACATATGTAGCGTATGCGGGAGATATGGACTGCTTTCACACTCTTAGAGCTACAATCTGCGTGTTTTGAACATCCCATGGAAATATAAAATCTCATTGGATTCGTTTGATTTTCTGTTGTCAATTATTTGATAACTTTTTTGGACACATAATACATCTGGGAATAAAAAATAAAATATATACTTTTACTACACAGAGAGGCCATTTTGTCTTTTTATTTCTATTCTCTTTTTTCTTGTGAATTACTGGCTGATAATTCTTCTTTAAGACTTTAACAATATTATATAAAACACAGGCAATAACATGACTCTTTATCTGAACAGTTGACAGTCTTCTCAACTCCCTGATATTTGTTTATCTTCACAAGTGATTTGATTGCTCTCTTGTGGTAATTACTTTCTTTCCATGTTGTTTGCTGACCAGCAGGTGATAGATTTGAGCTGATTTCTGCCACCACAATAAATGCAAATGAGCACATTTTTAAAATTGAATAGCAAAACAACATGATGATTTGTGCAGGCACATACTAGAGGTAATCTCTGAGCAACAAACCTCTACCTCTTGTGCCCAGCTGGTTCTCACTGTCCCTGTAGAAGGTAGTGGATCTTGGGCAGGCACTGACATTTGGAAACTACAAAAAGAAAAATGATGACATGGTCACCTCGGTTCCTTTCATTTGTACCTTTCAAAACAGTCTGATCATTTGCGAACGTAACATTCTAATTTAAAAATGGTATGCATTTATTCTGCTCCCAAGGGGCCGGTTATTAAGGGTTAAATACAATTAGATAGCGTGCGCAATGTCTCACTATCGGGTCATTGTATAAATGTTTATCTGTTCTGCAGGAAATCCGCCTGGAGCCCGCTGAAGAGGAGGTGTTGGAGAGCAAATCGGTTAGTTTTCATTGACTTGAATTGACTTTTCTTCTGTTGCTGCTGCTGTGACCCTGTCTCTGTTCTCACATGGGAGATTTGTACTGATAATAACCACTCAGCAGTTGTCATAGCAACAGGAGGCCTGAAACCTGACTCCCTCTGCACTCTAATATTTCTCTTAAAAACTCATTATTAGACGTACGTGTGAGCGACAGAGAGTTTGAGTAAGCATGTCTGGGCATTTTCTAAAACATATATTTATGGGTAAAACACTTTGAATAACTCAACATACATGTGTGCGTACCTTGGTGTAAACCTATACTGGCTACATATTCAAGGCTTGTGCTTGTTTACAGTATGTGTGTTTTTTAAATGTGTTTTATTCCCTGTGTAACCACTGCATCCTCATGTCAAAGAAAAGGGAGACTGTTATTTGTGCTCAAGCTTCATAGAGTATCACTCATTTCACGGCTGATAGACTCTGAATCCCTGACGACACAGCAGACACACTCAGGAGGATATCAGTGTGAGGTGGAAGAACATAGCTTGTTAAATTGAGTTTCTTTTTTTATAAATTACTTCCAGAAAAAGGAATCCTAACACCAATAATACCAGTAGTATTTTGGAAAATGATTAAAGAATTACATTATGTGACAAATGAAAGGAGGTTTAGGTTACAGATAGTTAAAAAGAAAAGTAAATGTGGGAGGTTAAGTTAAGTTGCCATTTCACATACAGTATTAAAGGGGCCCTATTGTTCTTATTTTTTGGTTTCATAATCGTATAATAAACTTTATTTGAGTTAGATCGCAAACACAGTCTGAGTCAGGTTTAGCTTGTTTAACCAAAACAGATGTATGTCTCAGAAACATAAACACAGTCTGACAGTAACAGAGTGCAGATGAGAGATTTTGTATTCTGTTATAAAAGAGACAATAGTTCATGCGGAATCATTCATTTCACATTCACTTGTAAAATCAATAGTTAGTATTGCAATATTTTACCAGAATTATCATATCACAGCAACACAAATTATATCATGCTTATAAATATTCAATTTAAGTGTCATGTCCCATCATGCAGACATCTGAGTGTGTGAATTAATCAATATGTAATTGGTGTGTGTCACTGGGAATAAATGTGGTGCTGAGAGTAAATCACACACTGTGTGTGTGTGTTTGTGTGTGTGTGTGTGTGTGTGTGTGTGTGTGTGTGTGTGTGTGTGTGTGTGTGTGTGTGTGTGTGTGTGTGTGCTTTCTGTCTACACAGCACATCCTGATAGTCCAGAGGCAGCTGTCGGTGCTGGAGGACGAGCTGGAGGAGTTTCGTTTGGCTCTCAGACAGTACATGGACTGTGCCTGCGCCCAGACTGGATGTCTACAGTCAGTTCATATTATCTCTGTTCACTTTGTATCACTAGGGATTTAGGACATGATGACGTGTGTATTTTTAACAGTCTTTGAAAAATGCTTTACAAAGAGCAACATGTGAATAAAAGATGCCTTCAAAAGGAAAAAGTATAAACAGTCCTCACAGAACAGTAAATGTATCTAGCATTTTAAATAGGATATTATCTGTACACACATTTATTGCAATCATAAATAAAGGAATTACGCCACACAGAATGCAAATTGCCTGCTCGCAGTCAGAGCGTGGAAACATTTCAGACAGAGAGGCAGTTCTCGGGGACATAATGTGGCACACTAATTAGTGATTGCGTGACTTGTGTTCTCCCCTGTTTTGCATTTCGCAGCATCGCAGTTCAGCGTCTTGCAAATGAATCACGCTTCATTCTCTATGAATTCTGGGAGCACAACAACGTGTGGAAGAAGTAAGTATTCGCCTGCACACTATATGCATCCTGAATAGTTCAGCGTGGTCTGCTAAAAGAAAAACAGAGAGAAGTTTAGTGAAGATTTGAGGCTTTAATGAAATGAATTACTAAAACAAGTATTAGAGTAGCAGCAGGAGCAGAGAGGAATTCATGAAACTTGACTTTATATTTGTATCTGAGGTAGTCTAATGGGCCATGTCTAGTTTGTTATTTACATAATAAACATTCAAAATTAACTTAAATGTCTCAATGTTAGGAAAGAAAACATATATATATATTAGAATGCCCTTTGTTGAATATTACAATTCATCCCAACATGCCAGAAAATGCAGATTAGTGCACACAACCTACAAGTGTTTTACTCATACATTCAAAGGTTGGTAAAAATCTGAGTAAAATCCTCAATAATTTAATTTTTTAAGATCAATTTAATGTGCGTGAGAATAAATCGTTTATTTTAGTTTTTTGTATAGCAGAATTGTTTCATGAGTACGTAGATTTACAAACTACTGAAGACATCTGTATGCATCTTCTCTATGGATAGAGTGATAGTCTGTCTGTTTCCTCTGCACAGTCACCTGCAGACCAACTACAGTAAGACCTTCCAGAGGGGCAACGTGGATTTCCTGGAAACCCCTGAGAGCCTAAGCACCATGTTGGTTCCTGGTAAGAGCATTCATTAAAGCTCCTGCTGATTCTCCGCTGGCTTCACTCAAACACATCACATCCAACAAGATCAAGATAATATTCACCTGACTGGTCTTACACTTTAAAGGGTAAACTCTTCAGCCTCAGGTGCCCTTTGGTACATGACGTCTATCATCAATCACAAGACAAGCAGTGCAGACAAATGATCCTCAAAGACATTAGAGCGTCATTTTGAAGTCTTTTTTTCCAGTCAGGATGAAAAGGTTTTCAAATAAACCAAAAGGTTGTGCTTCGAGATTGATTTGAGTATTACGTCTGTTAAATGTGCTTCGATGAAATGCTTCAATAAGCAGATAAACAATGTATGATTTGGATAGATATTGAGCTTAATGGTTTATTATTTACCTTGGGAGCAGTTTAACCAAAGTATACAATAAAAAAAAAGAACAGAAAATAAAAATGAAGTACTTTTCTTGGTAAAGCGTTCCCGCTTAAGGGTTTCTTTGTGATTATGTTCATTAGTTAATTAAAAAGATAAATGTGTTTATATAACTTAAAGTTACCAAGAGCAAGTTATATTACTTTAAGCTACAATCTAACGTTTGTCATTCTCCATCTAAACTGAGAAACTCTATAGGGAAATGCCATGAGATGTGCTTGGATTCTCAAATGATATCAGACCATTAGAAGGCCATTCTCAGTTGTTGTTGATATGTGGTGTTATTTCTCCTGCATCATTACATCAAATTGATCCTAATTCTGTCTAACAAGCATCATTACCCGCTTCACATTATAACCAGCCACGAGCAGCACAGAGGGCAAAGCTGAACATATTTGTCATGACATACACTCACGGACACACAAATACACAAAATACACAGTTTGCAGAGGATAGCATGTTCAGTGTCTCATTAAAATCCTGCTTCTACTCCTCCAGCCTCGTGGTGGGTCCTCAACAACAACAACTGAAGATGGATGAGGAACCTTTATAGTCCTAACTGATGGGAAAAATCTGCCAACACATAAGGAAGACCAGGAGCACACACACACACACACACACACACACACACACACACACACACACACACACACACACACAGTAACTCGTGAAGTTATAGTATTTATGACCTTTATGTTCCTTCATAGTTGTAGGTGGTAGTCTGAAATAGTCCATGCGTGTGTGTTTGTTTAAATACCTAGACGATGCTTTGACATCCTGAAAGAAACGACGACGACCCGTCAGCTGATCTGACATCATCACTGTGTTTGACGTGACACAATCTGCAGCCCAGGGTAGATCATTGGAGCTGAAGCTGTGTGTGTGTGTGTGTGTGTGTGTGTGTGTGTGTGTGTGTGTGTGTGTGTGTGTGTGTGTGTGTAGAGAGAGTGAGAGTGAGAGTGAGAGAGAGAGAGAGAGAGAGAGAATTGTATCATGTGTAGCAGCTCCAGGGAGCTCATTAAAACATGTTTCTGTTGTGTCTGTAATCAATGTGTCAAACCAGATAAATATCCCTTGGTCATAAATAAAGAAGATATTTTGTTGTGTATCACGTTTGTTTGTCTATTTTTCTGCTAACACGATATCTAGAAAAAAAACATTGCAAATGTTTGGATTCTATGTTAATCAAAAGCGAAATTTAAAGCCAGGGATATTTAATTACTAATCCAAACAGTAAAATATATAATTATGTTAAATCAATAGCCAAGGATAGAAATAAAAAAAAACTGTAAAAAAGGAGGAGGAATTATAGAAGAGCCTTTCATGAATGTTAGCCGTTAAAGAATTCCCCAGGAAGGAACCTGAAGTCAAAGTGTCTGGAAAAATGTATTTCAATGTATCAACAGGTTGACAACATGTCCTTGTTGGTCTGCTCCTTTGTGCCTCCTGATATCTTCAGTATGGATAAAGACCATGGCACACACGCTTAAAGCCTCACTGCTTTATCTAATGTTTGCTAATGTCACCACCATGTGGACAGACAGCAGTACTGCAGCTGTAATGCTGCTGTGAATGGTGGTGGCTCTTCAATTGAGCAGGAATTATGACAGACATTAAGTTTGACTAAATGTTTTGAAAACCATGTTTGTCAATATACTTCATTTTATTATAAACCCGGTAATTACATCAAATCTGAAATTATCTTAGACACCAGCTAGATGCTTGAACCACACAGGTGTGATCGATGATCAGGTTGATTAGAGATGAGGACAGATTGAAGTACAGCTCCTGATTACACACCCTATAGATTAATGAAAGGGTGAGTTGTGCCACTCGATCAGATACAGTCAGTAATTGCCCACATAGTCCAAAGAAGAACTCTCATTAGGCAACATAGGTGAAACCCCCTGTGTGTGTGAGCTACGGATGCTCAACCAGTTGACTGGTTGCTGAAGTTATTATCAGAAAACGAAGCACCTGTGTTTAATGTACGGTCTCAGTCTGTGTAACTGATGGTTATTACTCCTATAGGGCCTGCGATAAAATAAAAAAGGAAATGGATTGGAATAATTGTATTATGTGAGACACAGTCATCATCACTAAGACTGTGTGTACTCTATTGCCTTATAAAATATTTAAACAGAAATTAATTATTTACAGTTACAAATTGGTTTCTCGTTTTTTTGATTAGATTAACTGTGATCAACGTTGTTCATCGCAACAACAGAGAAATGAGTACAAAGAAGCAGGAGTCAGATTACAGATCATTTAAAATCCCAAGAGGGAAGTGTTTAGATAGAAAGATGGTTTAGTCTATATTAATGAATCCCATTTGATTGAGATCATTTTAACCTGGAAAATGGCTATAACGGTCAGGCAAACCTAATGTAAAGTAAGAGTAAAGAAGTACAAAAAATATACCTGAATTGTAATTGAAAACACTTTTATAAATGACAAGTTTGTAAAAGTGACTTCATCCAATGTGTTTGAACTTTGTGGGTCTTTGGAGGGACTGTAAATTACCAAAGAATCAGAGCCAATGATCACACAGAACAATACAGGCAGTTTTTGCATTTTATTGATAAATTATCATTTTTAAAAAGACCCAAGAGCCATCGTCTCCTTTCACCTTTCACTACAGTTTACCAAGTACTGAATTTGAACTATATACAAAGACATGTTTTAAACATTTTTGTTCTGCTTCATCATCATCAACATCATCATCATCATCACATTCAAAACAAGGTTAGAAATCTGAGCAGTGCCCACTGGTCAAGGTCGAGAGACAGGATGCTGAGTTAGCCTAAAGTGATGCCAGCCAGCACAGAGGTCACCAGAGGTCAGAGAGCGGCAGTTATAAAGCGCAGGGAGGAAGAGGGAGGAAGAGGAGGGTTTACATTCTAACTCACAGGCAGACAAAGCAAAGACATCCTACGCTTCAGCTACTTCTCCGGTAACTGAAAAACAAATCAATGACGGAGCATAAACAAGTCAACATGCAAACATGAGTCTCCATTTATGGGATCATTTTTCATTATCGAGAAGGCAACGAAAGTGCAATGAAGTACGCCGAACTCCAATAAAAGGGTTGGTGCCAAGTGAGTTAAAAGCTGCATGGACAGAAAATTAACACTATGATATAAAAAAACAACCTCCTGTTGATCTGTTACTCTTCTTGACCAATACTGGGCAGCACATAGGTTTTTAAGGATTTCATATTAAAATTGATCATTTTGTCAGGGTTAAAATCATACAGTGATCCTATGTCAGTGTACACAAGCTAGGTAAATGGTTACAGGACAGTATGGGTATGCAGCTTTCTGTAGATGGAGTTATGAACTAGCAGCAAAACAACACGTACAATTGCATATAATCGTAGTGCAATGGGCAAACTGTTCTCAGGAGGTCGGCTTATTTTGGTCTGGTCAGTAACAAAAGAAAACCAGGGCTGAAAAAGAAAACAGAAGAAGAAAACGGTCCAGAAAGACCAAATCCAACCAGTTTGCTAAACAATCATTTTCAAATCAAATGTTTGGCATTCATCAGGAAAAAACACAGTTTCTTTTTTGTTCATGATTGTGGATTTTCGCAAAAAACCTGGGCAGGATTTGAGTCTTTGTGGACGAGTAGGAGAACATACGTTTTGTCCGTTCATCGAGTCCAAACCCTCTAAAACATCCCAGACCCCAACAGACGGAAACACATCTCCAACACCATACACATCTTCAAACACACAGTACCATCTACACACTTCTGTCCAGACGCTCTGCAGACATCATCCCCCGCTGAACATGACCGGTTAGAAATCTGAACAACATAAACAAAAATAAAAGTGGGGTTTGTTCTTCCAGCCGTGCCGCTCTAGGCGAAGCTGTTCTCGGGGTAGCTGACTTTGATGGCGCCCCAGTAGCAGGCTCGTATCAGACAGATGAGACCCAGCAGGTAGGCGAAGGCCCAGGACACGTAGGTGGCATTGTAGCGGCTCGCAAAGCCCCTAGTACCAACCTGTTAGTGAAGAGGAGGAGAAGAAAGAGGGATTGTTACAGTCAAACCTCAGTCTCTTATATTTGATTAAATTGCACATCATACAAAACAACTAATTCAAAGAGAAGTGCACTGGTTAAAGCAGGATAAATTATAATATCAAAAAGAGGTGTGTTTTACTCGTCCAGTGTGCGTAATACAAAGCTGCTTTGATTTGGAGTCAATGGGTTACATGATAGGAAGCTATTGACATTTTTTTCGAATCTTCAATTGTAAACTGCTGAATCTTCATATAAAATAGCACGTTCAGTTATAAAGAGGTGTGTCGTATTTGTTAAGTCTAGTTATACAATTTCGCATTGATTTAAAGTAATTATGTCAGATGATATGGAAGCTATTGAATAAAAACAGTTCTAAAAACAGTTCCTATTATCAAAATTCATTTGAAAAAGAACAAAAAATCCAATAAAGAGAGGTGTGTCCCACTTGTCTAATGCTGTTATAAAATGACGCATTCATTATGGAATCATTAGGTCACATGATCTGGAAGTTATTGTAGAAATCCAAGAGGCTCAAATAAAATAGAATATAATCCTAAAATCCAATTAATATTTGTCCACAGTAGTAAATTAATTTGGTGAATGAATCGGACACATGAAATGGAAACTGTAAAGAAATTAGACTTGTTGTGTTGCTCCTTTGTTTGTAACTATCCTCCCTGTTTGATATTTCCTGCTGAATGCCTTCATTGCAAAACACCACATGCTGTTTATGAACCTTAACTTGTGCTTTTCAAACAGCACAAACTAGACAAAGGCAGCACTTACCGTTAAACCCACTCCGATGAAAATGCAGATCATTCCTACAGTTATATAAGCACAACAACGCCTCCTAGGGAGCGCACTGCCGACAGAGGATCTGCAGGGAGACATTGAGGGGGAGAAAAATGGTCAGTGTGTCGTCAGAGGGCAGAAAGAAATTCTGAATATATTTTATACAGTTTTATGTTGTGTATGTTCCTCTGAGAAACAACATGGGGATGGCTTTACAGACCATTGGTAACATTTCAGGTACAGTTTAAATTCTTAGCATTATTCTATCAAATTTCTCAGAGAAAAAATCTGTCTTTCTCGTTGTAGATTCCACATGAGAGCGCTGGAGGCCGGTCACATGTCAGCTCTCAACATCCTGACTCCATAAAACCACATGAACAAATCAAGCACCAGGCTGGCATCAGTTTCTTTTTCATTTTGCTTCAAACATTTCTTTACTTTCTTCCCCCTCTCTGCTCTCACATGCCTCTCATGTGAGGGGACTCAAGCATTCTTCAGGAATAGTTGGTGTTCAGATGGCTTAAGGGGGAGCCTGATCACCTGATTTCTACTACTCCTTCTTTAAACACCTGACCATCTCATTTATTTGAGCTGTGCAGCAAACCATTTTTCAAAGAAGGTTTTAAAATATAAGCTATGAAATTGAACACTTAATCAGACGATCTCATTTTATCAAAAGTTCATCACTCTGTGGTCTGGGGATTTCCTTATAAGCATTAAAGCTAAATCTTCACATGACTCATGACTTCTTCTGTTACAATGCAGTAAAGGAGATTGAAGGGAAAGAGTAAGAGAACATACAGGAGAAAGAGATAGATAGAGAGCAAAGAAAATGGAAACAGACACTGAGGTAAACAATAGAAATGGAAACCCAAAAATGATTGCTAAAGAAAGACATACTGTTAAGGTCTCTAAAATAAATAATTAAAATGATTATAGGCGGAATACAACGTCTATTGACTGTTTTGCTCATCAAAGTTGATTTAATAAAATACACCTCATCAATACTCATGGCTTTTAACTGAGTAGTGTTTCCGGTAAGGGGCCACTGGGAGAGGACACAGAAACTTCAAGTTCATGTTGAAGTCTCTCTGACAATTGCTGCTTCCTCACCGCAGCAATATATTTAATGACTTTTGAATTTGCACGTGCATTACACAAGCAACTCATACTACGGAGATAAAGATAGGAACGTATGAACAGAGAAAAAGACTGGAGAGATGTTGTCAAAATCTCAAATATAACTCTAGGAAAGATGGCAAAAGAGCGT